AATGAAAGCAGTGCTAAGAGGAAAATTCATAGCACTAGGTGTCTTCAGAAAGAAGTTTGAGATATCTCATACAAGCAACATAAAGGCACACATAAAAGCCCTAAGGAAAAAAAAAAGTGAGCACACACCCAAGAGGAGTAGATGATTGGAAATAATCAAACTCAGAGCTGAAATCAATGAATTAGAAACAAATAAAACTATTCAAAGAATCAATGAAACAAAAAGCTGGTCCTTTGAGAAAATAAACAAGATAGACAAACCCTTAGCCAAACTAACTAAAAGATAGAAAGAAACTATCCAAATCAGCAAAATCAGGAACAAAAGGGGAAACATAAGGACAGACACTGAGAGAATTCAAAGAATCATTAGGTCTTACTACACAATTTGAAGTAACAAATATGTCAGAAAATTTGAAAATCTAAATGAAGTAGACATTTTCCCTGATAGATTCCATTTACCAAAGTTAAATTAAGATAAGGTGAATAGATTAAATAATCCTATATCTCCCAAGAAAATAGAAGCAGTTATCAAAAGTCTCCCATACAAAAAAAGCCCAGCGCCTGATGTTTTTAGCTCAGAATTCTACCAGACCTTCAAAGAAGAGCTAACTCCAGTGCTCTTATTCCACAAAAATAGAAACAGAAAGAACATTACCAAACTCATTCTGTGAAGCCACAGTCACCTTGATACCTAAACCACACAAAGACCTAACAAAAAGAGAGAACTTCATACTTATCATTCTCTTTTGAACATTGATGGAAAATACTCAAAAAAATTTCTCACAAACTTAATCTAAGAACACATCCAAGATATCATCCACAATTGTAAAGAGCTGTTTGCTTTTCAAGCTGCTATGTTATTTATTGAAAAAAAAAATGTTTTCACCCTGGCTTTAACCTTGAGACAGAGAAAAGAGGAAGTTTTGCCAAGTTCCTTAAAGATAGTTGTGTGACCTTGGACCATATCTGCTATAGGGAAGTAATTTTAGAAAAGTTTCTCAGTTCCAAGATCTGCTTTTAGTATTGATGTGACTTACTTTTGCTTTTCCTATAAAAATGAATTGTGGAATAAACCTACGTTGCAATCATACTGACAGCCTTCTCAGGCAGATCCTGTGTGTATTGTGACTTGCTTTAATTATTTTAGTCCTCACTCCCAACTCAGGAATTGTTCGACTCTACCTGTAGCCTCCCTCACATGATGACCAAATAGGCTTCATCCCAGGCATGCAGGGGTGGTTAAATATATGGAAATCCTTCAATGTAATCCACTACATAAATAAACAGTAGGAAAAAAACAACACATGATCATCTCTTTAGATGCTGAAAAAGCATTTAACTAAATCCAACACCTATTCATGTTTAAAGTCTTGGAGAGATCAGGGGTACAAGGCATGTACATAAATATAGTAAAAGCAATATACAGTAAGCTTATAGTCAACATCAAACTAAATAGAGAGAAACGTAAATCAATACCACTGAAATCACAGACAAGGCTAGGTTGCTAATTCTCTCCTTATCTCTTCACCATAGTACTGGAAGTCCTATCTAGAGCAATTAACAACTAAAGGAGATGAAGGGAAAACATATTGGAAAGGAAGAAGTCAAAGTAACACTATTTGCAGATGATATGATAATATACTTGAGTGACCCCAAAATTTCTACCAGAGAACACCTTCAACTGATAAATGCCATCAGCAAGTGGTGAATATTAAATGAACTCAAAAAAAATCAGTAGGCCTCCTGTATACAAAAGACAAAAGGGCTGAGAAAGAAATTAGGGAAACAACACCCTTTACAATAGCCACAAATAAAATAAAGAACCTTGGTGTGTCTCTAACTAATCAAGTGAAAGACCTGTATGAAAAAACAATGCAAGTCTCTGAAAAAACAAATCGAAGAAGATATCAGAAGATGAAAGATCTCCTATGCTCATGGATCAGTAGGATTAACATAATGAACATGGCCACCCTACCAAAAGCAATCTACAGATTCAATGCAATTCCCATAAAAATACCAACACAATTCTTTATAGAACTTAAAAGAACAATTCTCAATAGCATGTAGAAAAACAACACAACAACAACAACAACAACAAAAACCCATTTCTCAATTGCATGTATAAAATCAACAACAAATAATCTCAGGATTGCTAAAACATTGTGTACAATAACAGATATTCTGGAGGCATCTCCATCCCTGATCTCATCCCTGTACTATAAAGCAAAAGTAGCAAAACGTGCATGGTACAAGAAACAGGCTGGAGGATCTATGTAATCCAATAGAAGATCCAGAAATAAACCCTCATAGTTATGGACACCTGATTTTTTGACAAAGATGCCAAAACCATACAATGGAAAAAAGACAGCATCTTCAACAAATGATACTGCTCTGATTGGATGTCTACATGTAAGAAAATTGAAAATAGATACATATTTATCACCCTACACAAAAAAACCTCTATGAGGATCAAATACCTCAACATAAAACAAGACACACTAAACCTGTAAGAACAAAAAGTGGGGAAGAGCCTTGACCTCATTGGCACAGGAGAAAACTTCCTGAACAGATCTCCAACAGAACAGGCTCTAAGATCAACAATCAATAAATGGGACGTCATGAAACTGAAAACCTTCTGTAAAGCAAAGGAAACTGTTGCCAGAAAAAAAGACAGCCTGCAGATTGAGCAACGGTCTTCACCAACCGTACATCTGACAGAGGGTTAATATCCCGAATAAACAGAGAACTTTAGAATTTAAAAACCAAAAAAAAAAAAAAACCAAAAAAAAAAAAACCCAAAACAATAATGCAGTTAAAAAATGGGGTACAGAGCTAAACCTAAAATTCTCAATAGAGGAATATCAAATGGCAGAGAAACACTTAAAGAAATGATCAACATACTTAATCATAAGAGAGATGCAAACCAAAACAACCCTGAGATTTCAACCTTACAACCATCAGAATGGCTAAGAACAAAATCTCAGATGACAACACATGCCTGAGAGGATGTGGAGAAAGGGGAACCCTCCTCCATTGCTGGTTGAAGTGTAAATATGAACAACCACTTTGGAAATCAATCTGACACTTTCTCAGACAATTAGGAATAGTGCTACCTCAAGAATCAGCTATACCATTCCTAGACATATATCCAAAATAGGCTCAAGTATTCTACTTGGAAATTTGCTCAACCATGTTCTTTGCAACTCTATTCGTAATAGCCAGAATCCGAAAACAACCTTGATGTCTTTCAAAGGAGAAATGGATACAGAAATTGTGGTACATTTACCAAATGAAATACTACTCAGCAATTAAAAACAAAGAAATCATGAAATTTGCAGGCAAATGGTGGGGCTAGGAAAGATCACCTTGAGTAAGGTAATCCGGAAACAAAAAGACACACATGGTATATACTCACTCCTAAGTGGTTATTAGACATATAATATAGGATAAACATAGTAAAATCTATACTTCTAAAGAAGCTAAGAAACAGGGAAGATCCTTGGGAAGATGTTCAATCCTCATTTTGAAGAACAGATGTGATTTACATTGGAAGCAGGAGAAGACAGGGAACAGGATAGGAGCCTACCACAGAGAGTTCTGAAAGACTCTGTTGATCGAGGTATCAAAGGTGATGCTGAGACTCATAGACAAACTTTGGGCAGAATGCATGGAATTTTTTCAAAGAAAGGGAGATAGAAAAATGTGGATGGGACAGGAGTTCCAAAATGAGAACAACAGAGCCATAAAACACCGAGTCTTCACTGCCCAGAAGATAATGATACCCCAAACATGGAGAGGACCTAAAACTCTGGCTCAGATGTTGCCCATAGATTCAGTCCCCAAGTGGGTTCCCTAATAAGGGGATCAGGGGCTTTCTCTGGCAAGAAGTCAGTGTCAGGCTCTCTGATCACCTCCCGCTGGAGCATGCAGCCTTGCCAGGCCGAAGAGGAACACAATGCAACCAGTCCTGATGAGACCTGATATGATAGGGTCAGATAAAAGGGGAGAAGGACCTTCCCTATCAGTAGACTAGGCAAGGAGCATAGGAGGAGAAGAGAAATGGAGGGTGGAATTGAGAGGAGACACTGGAGAGGCCACAACCGGGATGCAAATTGAATAAATTGTAATAAATGATAATAAATAAAATGACTAGAGTGGTGTTGCTTCTCTTGTCTCTTTTTTTTGTTTTCTAGGAATATATTTGATTTCCAACAAATTTCACTCAAAAAGACATCATAAATTTTCATTACAAATGCAAATCAATACACTAATATATGTAGTTAATATATCTTTCTCTATTCTCCTTTTGACCTTCAGCCATGCCAACACTGTATCTTATTTATTTATTCCAGATTTATGAAATTTCTTCTACACACCCATGTCCTTAAATATTGACTTTGTGTTAGAACAATGCCTTATTTGAATTAAAAAAATGTTTTCTTCATGAATTTATTTATTTAGTATTGTGTGTATGCAACAGTCCTTTTTGGGGGGTCAGAAGACAGCGTACATCAATCAGTTATTTCCCTTCTGTATGTAGGGATCCTTGAGATCATATTCAAGTTGTCGGTCTTTTGCTGTCACCTTTACCCAACAGAGCCATCTTGACAGTGCCTCCTTCCTTTTATAATAACACAGAGGGCCTTAGGAATTATGGCACTTAATAGAAATCTGAAGCGCAGTAGTTTTGTTTTTTGTTTTTTTTGAGAAGGCAAGCCAATGGCAAATGATAAAAGGTTTCTATTTTACTTTTACCTGTGACATATTAATTTTAATTTTTGAATATTACAAATTATGACTAATATAACATCCTTTGAAAAGTGTGATTTATAACACAGTGTCTATCAATTATAATAAATATTCTATGGCATTAATAAAATGGCAGGACCTAATTCCAGCAACTTTGAACACATTAATTGTGGAAATTATATTTAAGCAAAAAATATTAATAGCTTCTAACTGTATCAATTTTGTAATATGATTTTTGGAAAGCTATTTTACCTGAGGAGTTCCACAGTCTCAGAATACATAGTATATGGAGACTTTGCTTCCAGAGGATCACGTTCCATGGCATTGCCACATTCAGTGAAGGAGAGGGCTGCATCAGCATAGTTCACAGCTTTGCCAAATTTCTCAAACTAAAATAGGAAAATGACTGTCAGCATTATACTCGTTTTTTTCTCCTTCATACAAAAGAATAATTAATAACTGTAAGTAAATTTTGTCCCTATGCCCCAGGAAACACTCATCATGAGGTAGAGGCACTATGGGTAGTTACCATGGGGGATAGGAAGCATCTAGTAGACAGATACTAGGTGATGCTAGGCATTCGAAAATGCATGGGGAAGCCTCTGCAATGGAGAACTTAGATATTCTAGATGTCCATCCTGAGATACATAGATATGTCAGCCCTGATATGGAGAGGGGGCAGTGTGCAAATTGGTAACAAATATGAAGGAAGTGGTTTAAGGTTCTATTGCTCTGATACTGTGGCTAATTGAGGAAAGGAAAATGCAGCCAAAGCATCAAAATGGATTATGGCACCATTGTTAATGTTACCATCACTTTCGGGCAGCTACAATCTAAATGAATGCCTTGTCTAGTTTATAATCATGAAATGTAGTGAACAGGCTAGATTTTGAAGTGTCTTTTAGTCAGAACTTACAGCTATTTTCTGTTTTTGTTATTTTCATAGTCTATTTCATGCTTTAGAAAATCATGAGAATATTGACCCCATTAGAATCTAAAGAGTAATAGATTGAAGAGTGAGAAGCTCTAGTATGACAGTCGGCAATAGTCAGATCATTTTCATTGGAAATGCTGGGATGAAACAGTGTCTAAAAGCCAAAAATATAGTACTGTTAAATGTTTTACTTTAGTCAAATTTTATTGCAAAAGGTTCTAGCCCTGATAATAGCCATGACTGAACTGGCTAGGCCATCCTAATTTCTTTTTCATGTGCAATGAATACTATATATATATGACACTTTGATATTGAACATTTTATAACTGAAATTTACATTTTCAATTTTTGAGAGTTGGATATAAAAATTCTACTAATTCAGAACTTTATATAAGAGAATAAGTATAATGCAGATTTGAATATATTAAACTTTGCATAACTTTTATTCAAATATTGACTATTCAATTGTAAAAGATTTCAACTTTTAAAATGGCAGAGTAGCTATCTATGGAAATGGATTAAATGTAACTATACAATGACTAGTTGTAGGTTTTGAAGAATCACTTATCGAAAATGACTTTACAATAATGTTCTTCCACTTTTATGTTCTGAAAAAAAAAAATCTGTGAGTTATATAAGCCATTGTGGAGAAATGCCATTTTCCATTAATTCAACTTGCTATTATGGAAACCTAAGTATATACTTGTAATCTAGTTTGTTTCTATTTTGTCTTAGTAGATAATTTTCTTACATTTTCAGGCTTTCATTTAACTAGTTTCTTTCTATTTTATCTTGTTAAATAATGTGCTTATGTCTTCAAACCTCAACTAGCTTTACCCTTTGAGAATTAATTTGTACATCTTGGGTTTTGAAGGTGAATTTTCATTCACAATAAATAGCTGGAAAGATTATTAAACATAACCAGAGCTTCACCTATCTTTTTTCAAAAGGAATACATATGAAAATCCAGAAAGAAAATTACATAGCCATGGTGTCATTTAGTTTCCATCCACAAACTGAGAGGTTAAACTAAAAACATATTTCTAGCAAGAGGGTTTATATAAGCTCAAGGAAAATATTATCTTTCGGTTTATGTTTCAACATTTTTTTGCTTGATAACACTCCTCCAAAAATTTCTACAGATATTTTTATATACTACCAATGAAGCTTTAATAACAAATTATACTGAGTGTCTCTTTATGTGATTGCTTTGAAAAGCCACAGCTCCATGCAGTAGCTAGGGTTTTCTACTTTACCCTAAGAATCAATTTTTGCCCTCATGGAAGCAGTATCTTCACATTTGTCAGTGATGTTATTTCTTAATCATATATTTGGGAATCTCTATAGGTTTGGTTTTCCTCAGCCTTTCAAATGTTTCACCTACACGTTCTCACATATTATTCTAGTCTCTATCATCCCTTGTACCACCTTGTCACAGGGATAGTCATGTATTTCCTCACTCTAATTTTAAAGAAGGGAAAGCTCTAGAGCATGTCTTAAGTATCACATTGAGAACATTTGGAATAAACCTCTGGTCATCTGCACTGTAGTTTTTAAAACAGATGGCCATGATCCAGTGATCACACACTGAATCTACCTGGGTATCTTCAGTGGCATCCTCCAGCTTACCTTGCTATTTTTGTCTGAAGTGGTGTGGAAAAATTGTTTCCAGAGGAAAACTCATAGTACATAAAGGTTAGCTTCAGACAATAACTAAGCAATTTGAATAGCAGAAAAAAAATGACAAAAACAGGAAAATGGCAGGTGCAATGGGCAGAAGAAGTTGATATTGGCGACCCACTAGTTACTAGATACAGCCTGATATGATATCCATCACAGTTTTCCCAGTGTCAAATACAGCTAACCGCTGAAAGGACACAATGTAGTATTTAAGGGTGGTATTTTTTTTTCTTTTTATAATGACACTGAAATGATACTTCCAATTGTTCTGAGATAGAGTAAGTGATGAGGAGCCTAACCATAAGACTGTCTGTAGGACCATGGTTCTCAAATGCTTATTTGAAAGTCAGTTGGAGATCTTCAGTTATTATGGCAGGATCTCAGTCCTATAAATTTTTATATCTTTGGTTTAGGATATAGCCTGAGCAACGTGTTGAGACCCTTTATTAGGAGGATCAATTAGGACAAACAATTCAACATAGTTACCTCATCACTGGTTTAGATCAACCAAGTCTCTGAGAACTAGCTGGGAAATATTTCATTAGAAATCAAGGTTGTCTTCCTCTGATCTGTATAAGAAAGCCTGAATATGGGCCTTACTATAATATCATGGAACCGAATACAAGAATCTGAGCTTTCTATGTAGACTTATGTTTCCCTCAAAAATTTGAGACCCATTCAGTGTCACTCAATGCCTTCCAATTTCACACTTCAGATTTGGTTTACTGGAACCAACAGATGCTCATATCATATCCAGAGAATATTGAAAGTAATTTAAATTCACATAAAAGACTATGACAATGTGAGTGAGCTTCTGAAGTTGGCCCAAAAGAAAAAAAAACTGACAAAGAAAATAATAACATGAGAACCCAGGTCAAAGAACTTTGGAAATTATGGCATTACAGAATTTACAAACTTTCATATCTCTATGTAAGAGGAGCAATGTTTTAAAAAGGTCTGGGGACCACTACTTCCCATTTTACCTATTTGTGAAATGTCTTCCTTGTTTTCATTCAAAACAGCATACTTTATTAGAGTGAAACAACAAGATGGAACGTACCAGTGCATCAGCTTTGTGTTTCAGCTTCTTAGCCTCTTGCATGTAAAAATCAGCATTGTGAACACTAAACAAACAAAATAAGCTCTTTTACAAATCAGTGGCTCGTCTTCTCATTTAGAAACTCAACAGTAAAAATATTTTTTGCTATTAACTCATTCCTATATGGTGTCTTAAAGAAGGCAGACTAGTATTGACACACACACACACACACACACACACACACATATATGTAATTATATATTATATAATATATTATATGTAATATATAATATATATAATCATATATATATATGATTCAAACCTTGAAATGACACTATAACTGGATTTGGAAGTACAGGATGGCCTATTAAGATAGCAACCTATATCTTCCAACCCCAGTCATTACAGTTTTCCAAATGGGTTATATAAATAAAAAATATATATAAAACCTAGTTATAAATCTCTTTATATAACTGGTCATAAATAATAATGAATAAAAATAGTCTAAAGGAGAGAATAGTCCTTGGGAAATAATAACAAAGATCCAGGGTTAAGGTTGGCTAAAGTTTTTTATTATTGGTGACAGAAGTATATGTGTGGCATGAGTTTACTTTAACTATATATATAACTAGAAGATCCATACTACCCTCATCCCCAATCATCACTCCCAAACTGAGGCTATTATAATCTGATATATATATATATATATATATATAACTAGAAGATCCATACTACCCTCATCCCCAATCATCACTCCCAAACTGAGGCTATAATAATCTGGGAACAACATACGAGTCATCAAATGTGAGCTTGGGTCTCCGGACATTGGTGCTTCTGCTGGACAGGAGGGGCAGGGCTGCCCATGATGTCATCTCCAGGTGACTGCTATCCATAAGGCCAGTAGTGATTGTAGAGTTGGTGGTAGAAATAGTAGTGGTGGTGGTTGTGGTGGTGACCGTGGCAGTGGTAGTGGCACTAGCTGTGACAGTGGCAGTGGCAATGGCAGTGACAGTGGCAGTGGCTATAGCTGTATTAGTGACAGTAATGGTGGCAGAGACAGCCTTTTTTGGGGCATCTCCCTCCTAGAAAAAAGAAAGACAAATAGCTTCCATTAGGTCTGACTTTCTTAAACCGTTTCTTCACAAACGCTTTAAATATCAATAACAGTAGGAATAACAGCATGAAAAACAGAAATAATATATACAGTTTGAGGATGGATAGGGGATATTAGTATATTTTATGAATTTTGTAGATCATCAGGTTTTGTTCTCTATTGATACTAAACAGTAAGCTATCCATGTGTTGTGATTCCATAGCCCTTGATCATATGTAGACTGGCATGGTAAAAATTTAAATCTAGACAAAAATGTGAAAGGAGAAGGGAAAGAATAATATAAATGAAAAAGTAGAAGATGGAAAAAGAGGGAGACATGAATGCAGGAAGGGGAATATCAGAAGATCTGACACTTTTCTTCAACAATCAGTGTCCTTGCTGAATTGAGGCTGACATCATGAGGCCCTTGACTGCTGTCAAAAGTGAATGGCATGGTATTTCTATGGCTTCAGAGAGTAAAACCTCATTTGCACCAGGTCACATACCAAGTGAATAAGAGACTTGTGGGGACTTTGCTCTGAACTAGCATTGCTGTAGAAAAGATGGAATACAGAAGAAAATAATTGCTGAAACTTGTAACTATGTATTCCCACCATGTCACAAGACTACCTGCCAAAGTAATAGATTGCTTTCCTCCTCTGGCAACTGTGGACAATCTTCATTTTTATAGCCACTTAATCCTTATACCCTTATGATTTGGTGTCTCCTTAAGATTGCTGTGCCTTAAGGTTTGTCCCTCAGTCAACTTCTTTCTTGATAATATTTGTCAAACTTGCATGTGTGGACACAGATTCAGCAATGAACAATGATTCCAGAGTGGAAATATCAGTTTTACTCTTTGAAGCTCTGATACACTAAGATGATCCAAATTGTTCTTGAAAAAAATAGTAGGAAAGTTGGTTCTATTTAATAACAGGATGGTGTTCCCATTCATCACTTAGGAGCTTGCAATTCAGGTTGCCAATTCATGGAATTGTCTCCAGGTTATGGGGGGGGGCGGTGTATCTCAACAGCCAGGGTAGGGCCAAATGCCTCCTTTACAAGCAAAACTCCCTTGTGCCTGTATCCTGATGTACTTTCATGTCTCTTGTAGAATTCACAGTCCTGGTTCTCTTCCTCATAAGGTATCAATCCCCAGACATTCTATATTCTCCTTTGAGTACAAGTAAGTTTCATTGGTCACCTCAGATTCTTTCTGGTTTATGGCTCTGGTCCTTTACTCTATGCTCTTTGAATTTGTTGAGTGTGTCCAGGCACAAGGGAATGCATGCTTGTCTTATTGACAGAGTTCAAGAGGGCCTCTGAAAGGCTCTACCCTACAGGGTATCAAAGCAGATGCTGAGACTTATGGCCAACCTTTGGGCAGAGTGCAGGGAATCTTATGAAAGAAGTGGGAAACAGTAAGATCTGGGGAGGACAGGAACTCCACAACGAGAGCAACAGAACCAAAAAATCTGGGCACAGGGGTCTTTTCTGAGATTGATAATCCAACCAAGGACCATTCATGGAGATAACCTATAAACCCTGCACAGATGTAGCCCATAGCAGTTCAGTGTCCAAATGGGTTCAATAGTAATGGGAACAGGGAGTGCCTCTGACATTAACTCAGTGGCCTGCTCTTTGATAACCTTCCCCTGAGGGGGGAGCAGCCTTACCAGGCCACAGAGGAAGACAATGCAGCCACTCCTGATGAGACCTAATAGACTAGGATCAGAAGGAAAGAAAGGAAGAACTCCCCTATCAGTGGACTTAAAGAGGGGCATTCATGGAGAAGAAGAAGGGAGGGAGGGATTGGAAGGGGGGAGGGAGGGAGCCACAGGGGGGGATAAAAAGTGAATAAAGTATAATCAATAAAAAATAAAATAAAAAGCTAACCCTAATAGGGGAGGTCCTACTCTCCTTCCTTCTGATCTTAGTCTATCAGTAGACGTGGAGAGGAACATGCATGAAGAAAAGGGAGGTAGGGTGGGATCGGAAGGGGAGGAGGGAGGGGCCTATGGGGGGATACAAAATGAATAAAGTGTAATTAATAATAATAATAATAATAATAAAAAGAAAAAAAATTGAAAAAAAAAGCTAACCCTGCCTCCTGAGTTTCATTTTCTGACCCATTGCTCTCCCTGCATTCCCAGAAGCCTGCTGGCACTAGGGACAACCAGGTAAAACACTGCCACCTAAGCATTTGCTTGGTAAGTCCACTGAAGGCGCACCCAACAGTTGTAAACTTCACATGGTCACCTGTGCTCCATTTTCTAGCCCAGAACTCTGACTGCATTCCCAGAGGCCTGCTGGCACCAAGAACTACTATCTGAGTAAAGGCTAGCATAAGAACATAATCAACAAGAGCCAGGGAAATATGGCACCACCCAGGTATACTACTACATGAAGATGTGGATGTCCTAACATAGCCAAAACAAGAAGATGACATTAAATACAAGCTTATAAAAATGATAGAAGCCTTCCAAGCGGAAATGAATAAATCCCTTAAAAGAAATGTAGGGAAATATAATCAAACAGGTAAAGTAAATGAATAAAACTGTTCAAGACCTGAAAATGGAAATAGAAAAACACAAACTGAGGGAACCTGGAGATGGAAAACCTAGGTAAGGGAACAAAAACTAGAGGCAAAAGCATCAACAGCAGAATTCAGGAGATGGAAGAAAGAACTTCAGGCAAAGAAGATACAATAGAAGAAACTGATACATCAGTCAAAGAAAACATTATATCTAAAAAGTTTGACACAAAACATCTAGAAAATTTGGGTACTATGAAAAGATCAAACCCATGAATAACAGGAATAAAAGAAGAAGATTTCCAGTTCAAAAGCCCAGAAATTATTTTCGACAAAATCACGCAAGAAAATGTCTTTAACCTAAAAAAGGGATGCCTATAAAGATACAAGAAGCTATAGAACACCTAATAGATTGGACCAAAAAAGAAAAATAAAAAACTCCACGGCATATTAATTAAAACATTAAATGTACAGAACAAAGAAAGAGTATTAAAAGATACAAGGGAAAAAGACCAAGTATCATAAAAAGACAGACCTATCAGAATTACATCAGAGACTTCAAAAGCCAGAAGGACCTTGGCACATAAATTGCAGTCACTAAGTGAACACAGATGCATCCCAGACTATTATACACAGCAAAACTTTTACTCAACAAAGATGGAGAAAACAAGGTATTCCATGACAAAACCAAAATTAAACAATATCTTTCCACAAATCCAGCACTACAGAATATATTAGAAGGAAAACTCTAACTCAAGGAGGTTAACTATACCAAGGAAAAGAATAACTTCACAGCAGCAAAACCAAAAGAAGTAAGGCACGATACACATATATACACACATGAACACTAGCACCACCAATATCAAAACATTAATAATCATTTGTCATTAATATCTATCAAAATCAGTGGACTCAATTCCTCAGAGGACGGGAACCACACAAGGAGAGCAACAGAACCAGAAAATTTGAACACAGGGAACTTCCCAGAGACTCATACTCCAACCAAGGACTATTCATGGAGATAACCTAGAACCCAGGCACAGATGTAGCACATGGCAGTTCAGTTTCTAAGTGGATTACATAGTAATGGAAAGAGGGACTGTCTCTGACATAATCTGATTGGTCTGCTCTTTGATCACCTCCTCCTGATAAGGGGAAGCGGCCTTACCAGGCCACAGAAGATGACAATGCAGCCACTCCTGATGTGATCTGATAGACTAAGATCAGAAGGAAGGAGAAGAGGACCTCCCCTATCAGTGGACTTGGGGAGGGGCATGCATGAGGAAAGGGGAGGGAGGGTGGGATCGGGAGGGGAGGAGGGAAGGGCTTATGGGGGAATACAAAATGAATAAAGTGTAATTAATAGTAAAAAAAAAGACACAGACTCTCAGATGGATGCAAAAACAAGATCCATATTTCTGCTGCATACAAGAAAGAACCTCAGCAAAAAATAGTCATTATGTCAGAATAAAGGGCTGGAAAGTTTATCAAGGAAAAGGACCTAAGAAGCAAGTGGGAGAGGCCATTCTAAAGTCTAATAAAATAGATATTCAACCAAAATTAATCTAAAGTGATGGGGAAGGATACTTCATACTCATCAAAGGAAAAACCCACCAAGATGATATCTCAATCCTGGACACCTATGCCCCAAATTCAAGGGCACCACATTCATAAAAGAAACATTACTGCAGCTTAAATCACATATTGAAACCCACAACTAATAGTGGGAGACTTCAACACTCCGCTGTCACCAATGAACAGGTCATCAAGACAGAACCTAAATGAAGAAATAATGAAACTAAATGATATTATGAAACAAATGGACCTAACAGCTATCTACAGAAAATTTCACCCAAACACAAAAGTAATATGCCTACTTCTCAGCACCTTATGGGACCTTCTTGAAAATTGACCATATATTTGTCAATAAAGAAATCCTCAGCGGATACAAGAAAATTGAAAAACCCCTTGTATCTTATCAGACCACCATGGATTAAACCTGAACTACAGCAACAGAAACAACAGAAAGCCTACAAACTCATGGAAAATGAACAACTCTCTACTCACTGATCACTGGGTCAGAGGAAAAAAAAAAATAAAAAAAATCAAAGACCTTGTAAAAATCAATGAAAATGAGGTCACAACATTTCCAAATCCGTGGGACACAATGAAAACAGCATTAAAAGGAAAGTTCATAGCACCAGTGCCCTCATTAATTAACTGAAGAGATCTCATGCTAGCTACTTAGCAGCACATGTGAAAGCTGTAGAACAATAAGAAGCAAACATATTCAAGAGGAATAGATGGAAGGAAATGATCAAACTGAGGGCTGAAATCAATAAATTAGAAAGAAATAGAATAATACAAAGAGTCAACAAAACCAAGAATTGGTTACTTGAAAAAATCAACAAGATAGACAAACCATTAGCTAAACTAACTAAAAGGCAGAAAGAGAA